TATTTTGAAATAGAATTTCATGTCCAGTTTGTTTTATGGCATGTTCAGCTACTGCATATTTTTCTGGTTGTTTTAGTCTGCAGTGTCTCTCATGTTCTTTGATTCTGGTATGGATGCTTCATTTTGTGGTTCCAATGTATACCTGGCCACAACTGCAAGGTATCCGGTATACTGGCGAAACGTTAGGAAAAAACACTTTCAGAACATGGCCAAGAAGCCCGAAAAACCCACAACAACCATTAGATCCCGGCCGTGAAAGCCTTCGCGAATACATTAAACTAACTGGAGTTTATCTGTGAAGATTCTTAGTCATCCAGGTGAGCTTGTCTGAAAGTTGAGTCCTGGCAACTGGACTTCTTTCTTGTTAGGTTGAAATGTTTCGCTACTCATCCAAGTAGCTTCTTCAGTCTAAGTGGAGGATAACTAGAGAACATTTTCCTCATGTGACTGTGGGAAACTTCTGTCAAGGTAAAATTTACAGGCCTGAGCAGTGCAAAGTGTCTTAATAAGCAACCATATTGAACAGGTGTGCTGTAATGCTGAGTCATGATGGCTCATAAAGTGCTGACTCATGTATCATGCAATATCTAATATGATTGGACACAGATAGTTGTGAATAAGTATATATGTGGACTCTGTACAACAGATGTATTCTTCTTCCTGATGAGTATCATGCTGTCATGCTGCCGGTCTGCACTTTTGTATATAGTCTGTAAATACACGTTTGGGGCTAGAGAAGCTGCTTGTGTGTGTGTGATTCATTTAACCACCTGGACCAGCAGTTACTCTGCTGATTTTTCACATTCTTGTGCTAAGAAAGGGGTTATGGGCCCAGCGATGCACCCTGCGACAACCGCCTTGCGCCAAGGAAGCTGGTGAGTACCAGTGGGTGCCGCAATAGTTTATGGAAGAGGTGGAGGTCCAGGAAGGTGGGAGTTCTGCCGTTGAAAGCCCAGGAGGGGAAAGAAAACAGAGGACTGAGAAAAAAGACAGCAGGTTGCAGTCTTTGGGGGCAGCAACCATGGGAGGCTTTCCCTTAACAAGATTAAATGAAAAGAATTACCAGACGTGGTCTATTAAAGTCGAGATGTTATTAAGAAGGGAGGACTTGTGGAAGATTGTTAACGATCCCTCCATGACACTTGATGAGGAGGAAGAAATGCTCAATGAAAGAGCTTTAACCACAATTATCCTATGTTTGGAGGACAGTCAATTGATTCATGTGCATGGCCTGACCTCGGCTAAAGAATGTTGGGACACTTTGAAAAAGATTTATGTTAGAGACACGGCAGGAACAAAGGTGTCTCTGACCAGAAAACTGTATAGATACAGACTGTAATTTGGTGGGAGTGTGTCTGAGCATCTACAGAAAATGAAAAACCAAAGTGTCTTAATGAGCAGCCATATTGAACAGGTGTGCTGTAATGCTGAGTCATGATGACTCATAAAGTGCTGACTCATGTATCATGCAATATCTAATATGATTGGACACAGATAGTTGTGAATAAGTATATATGTGGACTCTGTACAGCAGATGTACTCTTCTTCCTGATGAGTATCATGCTGTCATGCTGCCGGTCTTCACTTCTGTATGTAGTCTGTAAATACCTGTTTGGTGCTGGGGAAGCTGCTTGTGTGTATGTGATTCATGTAACCACCTGGACCAGCAGTTACTCTGCTGATTTTCTGCGTTCTTGCACTAACAACTTCTGCTTAAATGTTGTAGCTACATTCTGTTCCAGTGACATGCATACACTCCTGGCAGAAGCAGCAGCTGCCAGCAGGCGGGGTAACCCCTTATTCTGTCCTTTCGCTTAGAGGTAGAGCATAAGATCAAAGAGTTATTTCAACCAATCCTAGTGGTGATTTGGTAACTAGTATCCTATCTGAATTCTAACAACATACTCTGTAACTCATGCTAAGTCAATAAAAAGAGTTCTCAGGGCGTTGCCTTGAGGTTCCACTGGCTCGGATATCCGTTTGTTGACTCCTTTGTTCCTTCTCTAAGGCAATTAGCTTTCCTTTGTTCCGTGATCACCCACATGTGACCAGGACCTGAAATTACCTTGAAAATTCAAGTAAGGCCACTATAAGTTAGTTCTGACCTGATGGCATAGAACATAACACAAACCATACCCTGCCCAGCTGTTAATGAATCTGTGCTTGTTATGCTTACACATAAGCAAGAACCTAGATTTCCCGGGCTTCTTGTTTGCATTAAGAGCCTATAGATGAGAGGACTTCAGACCCTTCTGTCATCATATGAAAAAAATGGGATGGGGATGGGGCAGGCCTAGGAGCTCACCTCTAAGTGTTTTGCCAAACCTTCATTCGTTAAGGCTGGAGTAGTGCTCATGCTTCATACTCAGGCACTATTTGACTGGTGAGAGGAAAATGTATACTGAAATGCATCTAGCCCTTATAATGTATAGAAATGTAGTGTTACTTAAGCCAGGTGGTCATTCTGCAGCTACATTCACTATGTATTAAGCTTTTCTTCAAGAGTGAGCTTGGGGGAAATTGTTTATTTGCAGCAGAATCTAGCTTGCACATTGTTTTCTATGACCAACACATTATTTTTGAGACCACAGTACACACTTCTAATGAGGGTGTCTACTCCTTAATTGACATCACAATCCCTCATTCCATACGTGCAATTTTAAGAGCCAGGAAAATTTTTTTATGTAATTCCGCAGTTCCTTTGAAATATTCTGCATTTTTGAGAAACACCCATCTTTGCTATCTTTCATGACACCCAGCCTGAATATTAATTTGCAAACAGTTTTGTAATCTTTGCAAACAGTTTTGTAATCTTTTAGGTAATTAATACAAGGATTATCCTGGGAGTGTTTTTATTTATTTTCCCTACCAAAGCAGCAGCAGCAGTAGCATTTACCCCCACTATACACATTGCCCTCTTTTCTTGCCTGTTCACTGGGAACGCTGGGATTTGTAGATTCTGATATATACTCAAGCCTTATTCCAGTTTTATCTGATTTCAGTCACCATGGAGAATAGGGACCACTTTAACCCCATCTACTCTCTTTTGGCTATCTGCCCCTCTCCTACACCTGGGCAGCAATCAAGTCTGAAGAGGGGAAGCCTCCACCTTATATGGGGCTCTCCATGTAAGTCTTGGTCCTGACCTGCATGGAGAACTCCCCATACCTAGCAGAGCAACAACACTGGAAACAGGGATGATGGAGCAAGACTGCTTCTTTCTATACCTAGTGAATGTAAATGGATATATGCTATCAGTCTCACACTGCACAACCATACTGTTTATTCAAAAGGATATCCTTAGGCTGAGACAGGCCAGGAGCCCTGAGAGTTAGAAAGTTGTTTGAGATTCTTCTAATACTGACTGATCAAGCAAATTGCACAAGAGCTAGAAAACAGATGCAAGAACAGTTTCTGTAAATCAGTGGTCATTATATCCTCATTTTTCTCCCCTCATAGTAATAGGGCTTGCTGCCTGGGCTGGTCTCCCCTGGACCGTCTGGGCCCAGGTAAAGTGCACTTTTCCTCACAGCATAAGGGGCCTGGATGATGATTGGATTGTGACCATGCAGTACAAATCTATTTCCCCTCTTCTGCTCAGATGTTTTATAATTTTTGAAGTTTTTTAAAAGTTATGAATGATTGTTTAAACAATCAGCCAAATCAATAAAAAGGCAGCCTGCTTGAATTATGGAGAAAAGGACTGAATGACTGAATCAGCATCCAGACCTTAAACTTTGTTGTAAGTATTGCAAAGACACAAGAAAGTCAGGGTTCCTTCCTACAGGGAGGGAGTCAGAAGCGCCTTCATTATATTACATTTGTACGCCTCAGGTCCTAGATTTTCAGACTGACTAGGAAAGATTTACATTTAACACTGCTAACAGTTATTATTTTAATATTTACATTCATAATGAAGCATCACAACTCTTACATGGATTTCACTGCTTGCTCAAGAGTGTCATTTTCAACAATTTCACTGCTTGCTCAAGAGTGTCATTTTTAAGCTCAGTCAGTCAGTCAGTCAGTCAGTCAGTCAGAGGCACCTGTTTATGAGACACCATCGACTTTCCAGATCACTGAGAAAGGAAGAAAAAAGATTTCTCCATTTGTTTTCATTTCAAAAGGTTCATTTTTCACAAGTTTGATAAAAAAAAAAACACCCTCAGCTCTATTTTGTTCATTCAGTAAATGTTCATTTATTTTAGTTTTTCAGTTGTAAAGCCAGTTATGTACTACTGGCACTGAGGTGTTTTCCTTCTAAACTGATACTGGAGGATTGCTGTGAGTCAGAGAATTGGCACTTGGTGGGGATGAGTAGATGGTCCGATCGCTGGGCAATGGATCAATGGTTCTAAACTGATACTGGAGGATTGCTGTGAGTAGGAGAATTGGCACTTGGTGGGGATGGGTAGATGGTCCGATCGCTGGGCAATGGTTCAATGGTGGGACCAAGGCTATTTCAGAATGATCCGTACAGTGGAAACAGTGAGAACAGTATAGCTTGGTTCACAGAACTGCACAGCTTTCACCAGTTTGTATATTTAGGGTTCATGTGCAGATTTTCCACCTGAGATTTTGTCGCTTTGTCCTTTTATGGCTTATGGATTATGTGAATAATGTGGACCTTTTGAAAACTAACAGAGGATCTTGAGCAGATGCTGTCCAAAACGTTTAGTACGAGGCAAATTTGATAGAAAGCATTACTGGGAAGTTGATTGTACTTGGAAATTTCAGTGTAGTTTCTACAAAGGAAATTATTGATTAACCAACATTTGAGGTTTCTTGTAATGGATCCAAGTATGAATATATGAGCAATCTGATAGCTATTGTATACGTCACACTTTCAATAAACTTCAGTGCAAAAGCAAACCAACCATCGAGCCATGAGGAATCCTGTGATCTTAGAATCTGAAGTGCCATTTAACTTCTTTCCCACCGTTCTGACTGCAGATAAGGTGTTTTCCTGACCATGTTACATTCATTTGCCTATTTTACAGAAAAAACTCAAGACTACAGTTCAATAAAGTGAAAGTAGAAGATGCCGGGGAATATACTTGTGAAGCAGAGAATGTACTGGGCACAGATGCTGTCAAAGGCACTCTCACTGTAAGAAGTGGTAAGTTAAAGTTATATACTGTATGCTTGATCCTAAACAATCTATTAGTTTCAGTTTCTTGTTTATTGTGTGGGTTTTTGTGGAGGGCAGGGGAGAGGGAAGAACATTTTTCTTAGTGCACAATTTGGCAGCCTCCTTGGAATTGCTGTAACGGGAGGTTATGTGATCCCTGTAACCAGCCCCAGTTAACAATTTGGCTGCAGTGTTTTGGACCTGCTGAAGTGTCCAAGCACTTTCCAAAGGCTTTCCTGGATGTAACTAAGGCATGTGTTGCTGTGGCCAGATCAGACCTCTCCAGGAACAGGCACAGCTAATGCACTAGCCTTAACTATGCATGTATCTAATGCCAAAACCTGGGCATCCAGGCTCAGAGATGAATCCAGAAGTTGTGCGCCTGTGTTTTCAGAGTTTCATGTCTCTTTCCTACTGGGACATTTGACATTTGTTGAAGCTCCAGAGTTGCCTTGGGTTCTTTCCGAGAAGAAAGGCAGAATAAAAATATTTTAAATAAATAAAATAAACTTGGGGGCAGAAGAAAAGTGAGCATTCCTGATCAAACTCTAGGAAGTTACCTGGTCTAAATGAGCTTAAACATAAGGTGGACCAAGTCCCTGTCTTACCCAGGCCCCGTTACTACTCACAACCATACCTTGACTTCACCCCAGAACTGCCTATATTATTATAGCGAAGGATTTGCATAGAGTGATGGTCAGGACTTGGAGGAAAGCTGAGAAGCACTTTTGATGTTTATAATGTTTTCTTGGCTTTTTGATGAAAGATTATTTTCAATCATCGTTTATTTCATTCTTTTCTTTAAGGACTGACTTTTAGAGCACAATCTTTCAGAGACAGCTTATGAAGCATAAAAAGTTTCATATGTATAGCAGATTAATTTAGTTTTGTGCATATAGCAGGAACATACTATCCATGTTTCCTTGTTTCTGGGGAGTGGACTTTTGTTGTGCTTTACCCAAATATGAATGTATGCATTTTCTTTAGGCAAAAAAACAAACATGTATATTAATTGCATTCCTTATTTGTATTTATCCTAAGATAGTTTATAGTTGCATTTTGCAGGTTTGCCTTTCAATTATGTTTAATCAAATACAGATATTGAATGTATATGGTTTGGGGGATGGGTGGGAGGAGCAGTCATGGCACGCAGCAGGCAGGTTTCATGGCTTATATTCTCAGTTAGATCTCCATATAATCTCCTTGCTAGCCTAGTGAAGGTGGGGGCAGGGATTTCATGACTGAGTGGGGATGTGAACCCACTTTTTTTGAGGCCACAGAAGTAGGGGTTATGTGTATGGGGATAAATATCCAATGTTCGCACTTTGATTCCCATCACCCACATCTTTTCTGTAATTACTTAAATGGAACCGGAAGGTAACGTTGCATGTATTAACAGAGGAACATAGTTTGAATTGAGAGTGCTACAGTGAAGTAAGATTATTATTCCTATTCTTTCAACACATGTGTTTATCTTTGATTCATTACTCTGGAGTGTTTTGTAGAGCGATGGATTAGCGTTACTAGCTGTGGAGCCTTTTGGATGATGATCGGGCAGGCAGAGCTCCCAGTCTCCTGCCTGCTGTTGTGCAAACCAAAAACCATACCCTGTTGATTCCAGCAGAGCTTGTGCTCATGCCAGGAGATACCGGATACCTCCCTGTGTGAGTCCTGGAAAAGCTCCGCGATGCCCGCACAACAGAGGGCAAGAGATTCTGACCCATCTTTTTTTATTGCTTTTGCCACAGAAGAGAACCATAACTTTCTAGCCTAATTGTTGTTCTTCTGTCAGTGGTCTCCATCTTAACATATAGTTAATCATACTTTGATATTTGCGGTAAATGCATGCCAAACTCTTGTATTCACCTAAATCCATTATATGGTTACATATGGAGAGCATGGTGTATTAGGATTGTGAGTTGGGCTGGGATTAGGTTCACAGAAGGAGAATTCAGGGGAGATTTGTGGGTGGGAAGTTGCTGCACATTGCTTTACACTGTTCAGCCTCGGTCATGGGCACACCAACATTTCCATGGCTGTTTTGACATATATTCACACATGCGCAATATATTTAAAATGGAAGGGCAACAGCAGCTCTTAGTATTATTATCTGTTTTGCCACCAAGGCAAGCAGGTGGCAAGGGCTGAGGACAGGATCTGAGTCAGATGGAAGGGGATGGGACAGAGGTGACCAGGTCTTACCTGCAGCTCTATGCCAGGTGTTGAGATAGATGCAGCTTGTATCGTGCTTAGCCACTCCCTCATCCTACCCTGTCTGCACTGGCATGAAATAAGTGTGGATGGCAAATTGTCCTACGATGGGTTAAAAAGCTACAACCTTTTCTTCCGTCCACACTAGAATGGATCATCTAACAGCATAGACATGGACACATCCTAAAATACTCTCCTAAGGGAAGGCAATTATATTTTGTGACAAATTAATGCATGGTGCACCTAGAGTGATATTGGGTGGTGTCTACCATTCACGAGTATGTATTTACAATAATAAAATACTACCAACAGAAAAACAAACCATGACCATCAATTTAGAGGATGTTTTGTCCCACCCACCTCCAGGCAACTTTTAAAAAGTGTTTGATTTGGTATATTTCAATTTTCCATCCCTTGGGTTTAAGGAAGAAGTTCATTAAGGGCTCCACCCCCTTCTTCATTGTCACAATGACCATGTGAGATGTGCAGGCTAAGCAGCTGTGCTTGGTTCAAGGTCATTCAGTGAATTTCATGACTCCGTGGGGATTGCACCCCAGATCTCTTGAGTTCTCATCCAGTCCCTATATCATGGTGGCTTAGAAAGAGATCCCATTGAATTTACAAGGCTTACTCTGAGGTAACTGTTTATAGCAGCTCTAAGAGCAGTGGTATCTGTATATGCTCACACTGCATTCAGTGGGACTCAGTCCAGGGTGCTGTCAGAGGTGAATAGGATTTGCCATAATAGCCAAATGCAACTCAGTGAGTAAGTAGCAGAAGTTGATTTCATTTTCATTTATATTGGAATTTTCCGCCTGCCTGTTTTGTTTTGCTTAGCTCTTTGTAATTAGGATTTCCACAGTTAAAATATCTGCCAGGAATCATCCTAATTCCCAAAAGTGCCCCCTTCACCGAGCGGCTGCTAAATCTCCAGTGCTGATAAACATATTAGAAATTCAGACAGGCAGACAGTGTGGAATTTCTTCCACAAGTCATCCTTGTGGTAGGTTCTTTTATTCCTTGAAAGGCAAGTTCATTTGGGGATTAGTAGTGCATAACGAAATTAATATTCTAGAGTTGCCATTTGTCTGGCATGCGGTATTCCTGTGTGATATGCCTGATGTTCTAAGAACATATTTTAAGTTTATTGCTTGCACTGCTAGTTAAAAGGATTTTAGTACCAATGCTAGGAATGTCACCTGTCAAAGGCTTTGTGAAGGTATATCCAGCTGTTCCTCTTCCCTCTTTCAGCATTTTCTGTGGTTTCCTCAGCCTTTATTTTGTGTCACCTTGACTTGATTGAGCACCCACTTATTTGCCTTTCTGGGGGAGGGTCTGTGGTAACTGCATGGCTTACCTCCAACACCACATTTCAAATAAAGTGACCCCCCCATGGGCTGTCTTTCTTCACTGTCCATCTTTTACATAGTATAGATTATCTTCACTTTGGTTTCAATTGACAATCTTTGCTAGCCACCCTCCTTTTTTAATTTGAAAAAAATGAAAGGACATCTTTTGGAAAACATGCAGGCAACATGTTTGTAGGGCAAGGGTTTGGAAACTGGAACATTGTTTTCTAGGCAACATGTTTGTAGAGCAAGGGTTTAGAAACCGGAATATAGTTTTCTACTCTCCTTTCTGTGGAGCAGGATGGCAACATTAGCTATCCTGAGAGATTAAAGGCTGTGTATTTTTCTCTCTTGTATGTGTTGCACTCACTCACATTTTTGCTTCACTATTTCATAAAGTTGAAAACAGCCCTTCACAATATTTTGGCACTGATGTACTACAGTCACATCCCAGATGTTCTTGCTTCTGCTGTCCCCCAGAAACCATAGTACAGATCATGTGACCATCTTTTATGATACTCTGATGCTGGGTAATTCTACATGAGGGAAGTTGCTGTTGGAAAGCATGTGTAGTTCGTGTATACTTAAACATCCATTTTAAAAAGGCATGGAATTCAATTATTAAAAACAAAACCTCTAGTTTATGAATGTGGGATATTGTGTTTCTGTATCCACAATTCAAAATGTCAGGAAATGGCCTGATACTGCTGAAGAATATTGTGCTTGCATTGCCAGCAGAAAAAAGGATGCCAAACTTTACGTAGGAAAAGACAGCCTGGCACCCATGTCAGCAGTCAAGATGGTCTATAAAATACACTCTTCACAAAGAGACACCAAGCAAGGGGGAATCCCAGGACCTGACTCCTTTTTCCACCAGTTAACCACTTGTCACCAAAACACAAAGTAATTGTTAGTGTTGTTTTTCAACAAGTTATCTAGGTATCTATTGCTTGGAGTCACAAATTAATCAAAATGCCTAGAAGAAATGGTAGTGAGCACAAGAGGGTATCCTGTACACCTTCTTGTTTGCTGGCATGGGTGTTGTCAACATTCAGGTTGCCCAACGTGATGGTACAGAAACAGACAGTTCAAGGTTTTGCTGCTTCTAATGTGGAATCATTATCTCGTCTAGCGAGGCCTACACCTCCTTAGCTACCTGACATTTCTACTTGAACCACTTATCACTATTTGAAAATGATTATTACGAAAGCTGAGCTGCTCACCCATCTCCTAAAAGATACCTTTCTCATTCCAGTCTGTGTATCCATTGACAGCATCATTAACACAGCCGTTGATCAGATAGGAATTCTTGTCTGTCATTCCTTCCTCTTTCCTTTTTCTCTCCTGCTAACTCACATTGCTCTCTTCTCTCCATGCACCTTTGCAATGATCTGACTATCCATTTCTAAACCCCAGTAACCTTTTTTA